CCATAATTAAATCCAGACAGAAGCAATCAAAAGAACATTCTGAAAGTCAAGGCTGCAAGCATGGGCACTTTTACTTTAAAGGGCATAAATTATTAACTAAAGCCAGGCATATGATACCAACTCCCATAGTTTTAACTATCTGGCTAAAGATCACATCCAGCTATGAAGCACAAATGAACTAGTTCCCAACTGAAAGACGTATCTTTACATTTTTCAAGTGTTCAGCTTATTTAAAATGCTCTAAGGTTTTGTTCAAAATCCAGCATCCCACCCCCAGACTTACTGAACGAGAATCTCCAGAGGAGCTAGGGAATCCATTATTTAACAAACTCCTGGTGAATCTTAGACAAGTTTGGGAAATACTATTTATGGATATTAAAAGTGAAGAAACTTTAGAGATGACATAAATGCAATAGTTACACCTTCACACTCAATTAGAACCTTGTATTTCCTCATGACTCACTGGGGTTATTTTAGTTTAATAATAATGATGACAAAATACATGATTCACAATCATCTTTGCTCAGATTGTGTTGTTTTTGCCAGTGATGCTCCGTTTGTTACCAGGAGGGGAAAATGATAGTGTTATTTCATAGTTCAGTTTTAAGTTTCTCATATAAGTCCTCTTGGTCAATCATGTCTATGTGCCCATTCCAGCGGTGATAGGCAAGGAGAGCGGCATTGTGGGCTGCAATGGCACTCATCTCCATGGCGCTTGCTGCACACTCTATGCCATTGAGGTAATAAAGGTGGTCGTGTAGTATGATGGAGGGGCATTTCTCTGGAGGTTTATAATGGGGATACGCAAGCCACAGCTGCTTCACAGCATAATCATAGGACAAAAAGAGCTTTAAAATTTGTTCTTTAGTAAGAATTTCTGGGGAAAAGATCTTCCAAATATATGTGCCATCTGTTGGTGGTTGAAGATTATTATTTTCTCTCACAGAAGATACAATCCCAATGCTATTAATGAACAAATCTGAATTATCTGTGGTTAAGATTGTACTAAGATCAAACTCAGCTAAAGCTCTGGAGCTAAAAATAGTTGAATTCAATTGCCCCTTAATTAAAGTTGTCACTATATGTTGTTAGTATTGATGGAATTCCTCAATTGGAGGGTCAAAGTTGAGAAAAGTTATATTGGACATTTTCCGATTCAGTGGAGTGGCCACCAAAACTATGTCATAGAAGTCTGAATGGGTCTCAGGTCCAGCTTGGTAGACGACTTCATACATCTTCGTGGGATTTCCTAGAGGAAATAAGGAACCATACATTTCTTTAGTGTTTCTTACACTATTTTACATCTTCTAAAAATAATCCTATACCTTCTTAATAGTTTGTAATTATAAGGAATTAAAGTAGTTTTATCCCGTAAGATAACTGTCCAAAACTGAGGCCAATTTCATACTCAGAATAGAAATACTACCTTGTCAATAATACAAAATATGAAAGTTTTTCTTTTAAAGATGA